GCGTTGGATTTGAAAAACATTGAAGTAATAACTCACCAGGTCTTCCCTTGTCTTCCTGGTAAAGGACTTGGATGCATTATCCCAAAAGTACTGGCTTGGGGAGGAAGCATTTAGTATTATCATATTCTTGAAAGCTTTTTCTTCTCCACTTGACCATCGAAGCGATACCTCCTCACCCATCCGATCAAATTTCCAATGATAGAACACTGAACCAAGTTCAAGCTTCAGTTTCATCCTTTTCTCAGCAATGTGAAATCTAACACATGGGACAGAACCTGGAAAAAGACAGTTGCACGATTCTGGCCTTCCCTTCCCAATTAAATCTGTTTCAGTATAGAATTTTTTATCTCCATGCTTTAAAGGCCATGTGCAAATGCCTAACCATCTAGTATCACTCTCTGAAACTTCTCCTGTCCATTCAGGGACTTTGGCTTGAAAAAAAGGGCCCACAAAAACTTGCTTTGTCGGGGACTCAAATCCAGAAGGGCCTAAAGCTGCATTTGATGACTGTAAATCAAGAGTCTCTGGTGCTTCCTCCTTAGATCCATTTTGACACACAGTCTTCTGAGGAGCTGCTGATTTATTCTCAGAGGCAGGACTTAAATTGCAATCGCAGTGTAAATGAGACTCCACTGAAGCAGGAAGTCTTTCACTGAATCTTAACCTCTCTGTGGAAGGTTGATGGTTCTCATACATGGATGGATGCATCTTTTGATTCCTCTGCAAGAATAGACCATCAGTTAGATGTTCTATAAAATCGACAAGTTTACTTAATACCTTCCAAGTACAAATGTCAGTATAAAATAGAAGTTAAGAGGAAAACTCGTTGCTTAGTTATGGTCCCACCAAAAGAGGGTCAGAAGGAGTGAGAAAAAAACATGCATAGACACATATTCCATGCCCAATCAAATCATGCATGTGAAAACAATTATGCAAGCAAAACAGTATTTATCAACTATTAAAATTATAATAATTTCTCATAACATATGAGAGTTGATGCTTCTCAAAATTTTTAGAATGGGAAAAAAATGGTAATCTATAAATCAAGAATCGGTTCATCATTCTCCAAGTGAAAATTCCCATATCAACTGCGCCTTGTTATGCATTTGAGCCACTACACTATATTGGATATTGCTAATTCTAAAATACATTTCTTTTGAGATAAGAGATAAGAATATTTTTAAATACATGTATTCAAGTCAAGAGTATTTTTGCTGGATAGGGAGAAAGAATTCAGAAACTTACTAACAAGCAAAACCATTGATTTAGAACTGATTAGCTTGGATTAACTAAATAGTCAAAATTATAGTTCTTTCGGTTACAATTACATTATTTAGGAGTCTCCTACCATAATTTCGTAGCTTTAAGATTTTATTCTTTTTAAGTATTTACTTTTCTTTACAAAGTAATTTTTTTTTTAAATCCTACTTGAGAAAATTTATCAAACAAGCATTATAAATATCTTCATAATCAAACTTTTGATAACTGTTGATCAGCAAACTACTTTGAGAATTTTTTTAATTATTTAGTATATGACATGGTTGATTTCACCCTTTAAGTGTAATACTGAAGAATTCTTATGTGTGTAATACTCAAGAAACTCGATGTGTAAGACCTAAGTTTTCATTCCAATTTTTTTTAAAAAAATATGTGTAAAGAGTATATTAATATTGGAACCAAGAGTGTGACGTTCATGTATATAATTTTCAAACCAATTAAAGTATCAACAAGGTCTACTAAAATTCTCAGTTGAATAAAGAGAATGACATTGTAAAAAAAAATCAAGTCTGAAACTATCTACTCTTAAGGATATCAAAACTATCTATATCCTCAACCTGTCAAAAGTCATTTTATTCATCTCCTTCCACACAACCCAAAAGATAGCAAGCAGCATTAGGTCCACTTATTTCCTTGGATTGTTAATGTCCTTCCACGCCCAAATTTTCATCTCTCAAGAATCTATCATCACCCAATTGATGCCTAACAGCTCATAAACCATAGTCAGAGCTTATAAACCACAGGATACGAAAGCAAAACATGGTTACAAGTCTCCTATGCTCTCTTACAAAGATAACAAGCATTGATCACTATCTTGTCCTGTCTCATCAAATTGTCTATAATCCGAAAACATTCTCTGCTAGCCACTCAGGCGAAGAATGAAAAACAGAGAGACTCTGGTGACATCAAATATCAGTTGACATCACAGCTTTCAACGCTAAAACACCAAAACTATACACTCAAATAGCTCCAAACTCATCCAAAAATAAAAATAGCACCAATAATAGAAAATTGCAAACCTAAGCACTTATCTACTGCCACCCAGAAATTGTCCACAACCCATGTATGGTACACCAATACCATCAACATTATAGGCCTCCAGCAAACTCGTACCTGAATCCTCATTGAGAAATCCACCAGAAAAATGTACCACTTGCTAGAAAAAGTGGCACCATCTTGTGAAATTGAAACTATCTGAGCCACATGATGCCACATCTCCTTTCAATATGAAACGCCCATCAGCAAATGAGTCAACTGCCAGAACCTCAACATCATCAAGTCATTAGAAAGTGGCCTGTGGGCCACACGTACAAGATCGAAACTGGACATTGCAAATGAACTCTCTTTTGACTTTTCCACCCAAAGCAGTTGACCCAAGTGGTTGAGCCAGATTCGTTTAAACCCTTCTAAACTGGTTTTGAATGGTTTAAATCAGCTCTAGAGTATTCTTGGCTTGCCCCTCTTTTTTTGTTTTCACAGTCTTCTTCACCTAAGTTGCATTCTATTGTCCTCTTGTGGAAAATTTTTAATATGTGGAATCTATAGGATGAAAACAAGTAATTATTTACAGATAGTAGAATTGATAAGCTTTTCTTGACCACAGCTAAGCATAATCAATCAATTAAAGTGGAGGAATATTGGACATATTCCAAATTTTCAAACTGTAGTCCATTGGAAAAATGAAAGTAAGAAATTTGTGATTGATGAGTATTGTTGCACGAACCTTGCTTCTATTTATATCACTACTGCTGAACAATTTAATCTTTCAACACAACCACATTTGCAACCATTCAAACTTGTTTGATAAACAATATAAGAATGTTCGCACATATTCTTTTAGATTAATCTCGATTGTTTTTGTTTTTTTTTTAAATAAAAAAAGATATCATTCCAAAGGTACCAAGGGGGTACCGTCCAATATACAACAGTTATATCTCAATCAAATTATCTAAAACCATCCCCAAATTCTCAAGATCCTGAATATCATGTCTCAAGAATAAAGAATCAAAAAGATGAAATCATCTATCCTTGATGCTGTTAAAATCATTTTCTATCCCCTCAAAATCTCTTGAATTTCTCTCTTTCCACACAACCCACAATAGAGATAATGGGAATCAGCATTAAATATTTGTTCTTCTCACACAATCTAGCTCAAGCCCACAATTCATCCTTAACCGACCCCGTTATAACCCATTTGATTCCCAACATTCCATAAATAGAAGTCCATAGATCATAAACCGGCGGACACCACAATAATAGATGGTTACAAGATTCAGCATAACATTTGCACATATAGCATCTATTCACCATGCATCTCCCCCTCCTCATGAGCATATCTATTGTTAAAACCCTTCCTCTGCACGCTTCCCATACAAAAAAAGCCAATCTTGGAGGTGCTTTAGGTTAACCTCAATTGTATGAGCAACATGTTCAACACGATGGATCGTATACTTGGCATGTAGTTTTCAGAGCTGTGACTACAATAGAGGCGCAAATGTACACACCCACAAGAGTGAACAGTCAAGAAAACTGATAAAAAGATGGAAACAAGCCACTTGAAAAGTTGGAACAAGCAATACGGAATCCTGAACAGCCTGCTGGAATGGTGATGCAACAAAAATTACATGAGGACCAGGACCTTAGATGGACACTTTCACAGTTTAATCCCAGGATATATTGCGGAGCAAACGAAAAATCATCAGCAGTTGCTCATGATACTAAAGGATTTGAGAATGCCCGAGATCTTTCTCTAAAAGACAACCACATAAAAGTTCCATGTAAGGTGAAACTTGACATACCAATTTATCAAAGTTTTGGTTTCATCTGATCATCAGGATTTCACACTCATAAACAATTATATGTTTTGTTATTTTTTGTATTGAAAAGAATGATCAAGCACAAAGTTTGATAGATTTTTATTGGGAATCATGAAGATCAAGGTGTTAGATCATTAACCACTCCAAAACTCGTGGAAAAGTTTTTCCAACCAAGGGAGAATAATAGAAAATGGGTTAGGTTAGCTTATCTATGTAAATAATAATTCTTTAAAACATAAAATGATTTCAGAAGTCTATAATTATAATTTTAGTAACTTTAGGATTTTATTCTTTTAAGCATTTAGTTTTCTTACTCTTATTAGAATTGTTATTTCTTAGTTTAATCCTAATCGGGAAAGATTATTTAAGATGCATTATAAATGTCTTTGCAATCATACTTTTCAGAGCTCAATTATTTAATAAAATACTAAAAATTTTCAATTTTCTGACTGGATGACACAATCAACTGCTTAAGTGTGACACAATCAGAAAATACTAAGTTTATCCAAGATTGAGTCCTAATGTATTTAGAGCTAGTATCAATCAATTTCTTCCACTCTGTCCCAAGTCACTCATATTTTGGAAAGTGTCTCCTTTCATAATTCCCACTCATGCCATTTTTATAATTCCCACTTATTTCAAAAAAAAAAAAAAAATTCCCACTCATGCCATTTTAAGTGGATCATGCCTCCACTGTGTCCCTTTCATTTGGAAGTCACAAATTCACACCAGAGTATGCACAGGTTTGTGCTGCGCCTATGCAGATCATCTTAGATGGCCTTGCTCTGACTTACCCTGCTTCATGATCAGTCATTCCTCATCTGATTCTTGATCTTTTTCCCCAGATAGGTACCTATATTTATCATCTCAAAAACACCCATTTGATGGATGTACCAAACAAAGAATTTGTGCAATTGTCAGGAAGAAGATCGAAGATCAATGTTTTACATCATTTGACAGTTCAAAACTTATGAAGAGTTTTCTCCAACCAGGGGACAATAATGCATAATGGATTAACTCTATATTGTCTAAATAGATTAGAGATCATGATTCTATTATATATAAAATTATTATACTATTTAGGGATCTATTATTATAGTTTTAGTAAAACTTTAGATGTTATTCTTATTATATTTAGTTTTTCTATCTGTATAAGAAGCATTATTTCTTAATTTTTTTAGTACTAGTATTTCTGGCTGTGGATGTAGCGCAATCTTTAATTGTGATACTCAAAGACTTATTAAACCATAAATCCTAGATGCCTAAGAAACACTAGACGTGATGTCTAGGTTACTATCCCTAAACCTCTAAGTAGGCAATTTAACCATAATTTGTCCTACATCACTATGTAGCATGGAAATAGATATTGGTAAATTTCCCATGGGCCGTAGCATAAGGAAGCCAGAATTCCATCTACTCCCACATAACATAAGTTGGAATATTACGGTCATAAAAATCCTACTATTCTATTCCAACCATAAAGTGCATAGACCCGCAAATAGAGCATCCTTCCAAAGAGCTTTAGTATCTTTTGTTACCACTGTCGATATAAATTCAAACTCGTGAAACACTCAAAAGAAAGAGAAACAACACACATCCTCAATATAAACATATCAAACAACCTTGTCCACAATCTCCAAGCCCCATCACACCCAAGAAACAAATGGCTGTATCAGCCCTTTCCTCTGGTACATAACACAAATGCAAGGTGAAGAACTCAATTAGGCCTGCGAATTTGCAGCAACTCATTAGTATTGAGACTGTTAAGGTCAACAGTCCAAGCAAACACCCTAAGTTTATAAGGACTTTATCTTTCCAAGATACATTATGAAAGGAGTATAATAGCAGTAAGGGTTATGGATTATGTGATCAGAGAAGGATTTACATGTATATAATATTTTGAGGAATTTAAGGTCCGGATCCTACTATCAGACTGCTAAAATTAATGGAAGCAGGCAAGCTTAACAGGGTTAACATGTAATTTCCCCATTACCTAAATTTCTGAAAAAAAGGAAGGTTCCAAGATACAGTCCTCTCTGTATGACATAAAAAAAGGGGAAATAGGGGCATTGTGAATTGAGGAAGTATTATAAAGGTGATGAAAATCATTGGCTAATGGGCTACTGCTAATCCAAATATCCTTCTAGAACAAGACTCTTGAAGCATCTCCCACCCTGAGGCAAGTAAAGACAATATATAGATCATGTAAATGGGAGATATTACCACCCACAACATCTAAGTAAGTACTTGGCCACGATAGTCTAGTACATATTATTCTTTGCCTATTATCTCAAGAGGTTAGACTCAAATTTTTAGTAGTAAATAGCACGAGATCTTGTAAGACATCATCATCACTTCATCTCCACTGAAATAATTGATGTCATTATCATAACCACAGATAACAAGTACAATAAAACTGCAGCAACAAAGAGACACCATGCTGAAAATTGTTTTAATATCATTTCTAACACCCAAGTGCAAGCAATTTTCGGCCAATTACCTTTTTGGCTCAAATCATGACTAAAAATTTAAGCCACTGATATTAAGTGACTTGAACCTCTAAAAAGTGGGTCATTTAGTTACATTTTTTACCTAATACAAGATTGTGATATCATGCCATCTATGTTACAATTAGCAATTTTCTAAGGTCCAACAGAAAAAATAAAAAAAGAAGTTGATATAAGCAACACCAAGTAGTTCAGAAATAAATTGATTAGCCTTGTAAAATTCAAAAGTCAAAAGATAAAGCACCTTTTCAATGTTTGAATCGACATGCCTTCTTCTCAGTAAAGCCTCCCGTGCACGAAAAACTTGGACCCAGTACTCGTTGCCTTTGTGCTCCTTCCACTTCAGTGGGTCTGGTATTGCCTCAACTGAAGGATCATTAGGACATTTTGCAACCTGGATTACCCAGTTCAGCATTGCAGATAAAGATTCCCGCTTTCTCTTGTGTGAATTAACTAGTTTCTTAGAAACACTAGGCTCCAGTATTGGACGATTATCGTTACGAGATTTTTCGTCAACATCCCCACATCTTACATATTTATCCTCAGTCTTGGAAACTCTTAATTCACTGACCTCGAAATCCATGTCAACAGACTCACCATCTTTGGATTTCAATGGTTTAACTCCATCATCTTTTCCCCTTTGTTCTGCAGCATTCTTTAACAAACCTCTAAACTCTGTCTCTACCTCCAAAGGCAAGGATCCAAAACATCCATCGCATTCACTTCCACATTTTCTCAATCTTTCATCTGTAGAACTCATCCTCAACCATTTCTCCAGCTTATCAAGATATTTAACATATATCAGCTTAACTGAGGGCCAAACTCTACGATCCAACCCCAGTTCTTTAGACACAAAACCCCACAAACCGTCCCTTGACACCAAATCAGAACCACCTCTTTCTGTGACCACTAATAAAAGTTCAAGTAAATCCACTACTCGCCCATCACCAAGCATTATCGGGAGAGGCCTAATACAACCTCTACCAGCTACCTCCTTTAAAGAAACAGAAAGAACCTGATCAAACAGGCGTCTCAGTCTAGCCTCCTTAGAATTATCAACAGCCTTATCCCTCACAGAAGGATCAACATCTTGACAAGACCCATTACTAGTACCAACAATCTCACCGCAATCTAAAGCAGACCTATCTGTTAAAATCAACCATCCTGCCATCAATTTAGAATTCGCTCCTTCCCCTTATTCGCTCTTGCAATTGAGATCAAACAGTCCAAAATCTTTACACGATAAACCAGAAACAGACATCTACAGGGGACAAATGAAGTCACATACAAATGCTGAATCTAAAAATTACGAATGATAATGCGGGTCCAGGCAAGAGAAAACACCACCTCAGTGATTTTATCACCGGGTACTGATCATTTCTTCGTTGCCGGGTCATGGGCTTTTCTTAGTTTTTGCTTTGAAAATCTGCCAAGACATGACCACAGAGCTTAAGCAGAGACGACATGGAATTGAAGGAGGACGGCCAAGATTAAGGTTTGTGTTTGGAATTCTTGAGAGAAAATCAATTGGTGTCAACAAAAGATGAAAAAATTTTCTGGGTTCCAAAAGTTGGCTGCGAGTCGCGCCACAAGGAGATAGACAAGAAGTAAATGGAGTATTTCTCAAAATCTTCCTCTCTCTTTTTTTATTCCACAAGGGTTTCAAATTTCCTCCGTTTATCTTTGTGGGTCTCAAAATCGATTTTAAGATCAAATGATAATAACAATATTAATAAGATTCCAGAATCTAAAATCCAAAAAGAAAAACAGAAATGCTAATTAGTAATTAATACAACAAACAAGGAAAAGAAAAAGTCCAACTCAAATGACCAGACAAAACTGATACAAGTCACTTCCCGTTCTTGTGTCCCATACCAAAAGTTCGCTTTTTTATTAATTGTAAAGTAAATTGCTTCACATTCGACTCCAAACTGGTTTGTCTCTGTCAAGGTCACGAACACTAAGAATTCGCTTATGAATTTCTTTATGCCATATAAATATATATTTCTTCCTTTAAATTTTTTAATTGGTTGGATTATATAACAATTTAATATGAATTTGCAGTTATTTACAATTTCTTCAGAGCTTGTCTTTAAACTATCCTCACATAATAATTATAAAAAGTCATAAAAATTTTCAGTAAATAAAAAAATGAGTTGAAAATTTTTTGATCTCATATTCATTTCATGTTGAAAAGAAAAATCTCTGCAATTCTTTCATGTTCAATGCGAAATAGAAATTTATATGGATAGCACATAATGTATGTAGATCCTCAATATATGATACTTGCACATACTTTAGAAAAATATATATTGGTATTTTCATGTAAAAAAAGCTATGTAGAAATAAATGTCACAATCATTCTTATGTGTTGTCAAACCTATTTGTGAAAAAAATAAAAAAAGATTTACATAAAATCTTTACATATATTATACTACTAAAAATTTCTTTGATTGACTCCAAAATTCTTAAGGAGGTTTATAGAGATACATTTTTTAATTTGAACATAATTGTAAAATATTTTTGTTTTTTTTTTTTTTAAAAAAAACAAGGTACTAATTTTTTAAATTGAGCATTACAAATTTTATATTGTAGAATTGTCTAATATTGTAACTGTCATTTGAGACAATTTATTGTATAAAATTCTTTATGTAACGACCCCGGAAATATTAAAATGAAATGAGTATTTAAATATATCAAATGCAGAAGCGAGATCAAAATTTCAGTTAACTTCCCTTACACGAAAACCAAAAATGTAATTAAAATATAAAAGATTAAACTAACTAAAAGAAAAACTCGAAAATAAAGCTATGAGTATGACTACAGAGTCTCTAGGCATTCCTTTCGTCGTCCTCCTGCGGAACGGGCTCGGGAATCATGTCTTCCTGATCTGAAATGGTTAAATAAGGAGTGAGCTACACTAGTCCAGTAAGAACATCACGATATCTCACCGTCACGGAGGTAAAGGTGGGTAGAAAACACAAAGGACTCATGGAGCATGTTTTACAACAAATCCTTTTATTTATGATAAAACCTTTACCATCCACTTACCTCGGTGGAATTTATGAAACAATATAAGAAAAACAATAACATTATCATAGTCATGGAATAATATAAACTGTAAAACATAACACTTATTACGCCTCTTGTAATTCAATCATTA